ATCCATCCACCCATCCACCCATCCATCCACCCATCCATCTACCCACCCATCCATCCACCCATCCACCCATCCACCCACCCACCCACCTACCCAGTATTCCTCCATCCACCCACCTTCCTTTTATCCCTCCCTCCATCCATAAAGTCACTAGGTTATAGATTGCTTATTCTGGAAACCAGTATATGAAGCTGGTTCCAATTTCTGAAGCTATGCTCAGTTTCTCCCCAACCCCACCCAGTTGGTTCTCCAAAGGTATCTTGTACTTCACACCTCTGAGTTTTGCTTCGGCAGTGTACTCTGCCTGGAAATCCTTCCCCTTTTTCTTGACAGGGCGGAAGCCGGGAGCCATCTCCTCACTCTCCAAGATAGGTCCTCTGAAGAAAGCCCCTGCTTCTCCCCCAATGCCCCATATCCCTTTCTGCTCTGTGCACAGCTCTCTGAGATATTGGCATACTCAGACACATTGGATTCTAATACATGGTTATTGGAGGGGATTTTTTAAATTCCAGAAACTCCTAAATGACTTCTTGTATAAAAGCTTCAGATGACATAGACGTAGAGAAAATGAAATGGGAGAACCCTCTCACTCCTCACGCTTCTCCAGAGGTAGCTCCTTAATTAGGTGACACCCGCAGAGCAAAGAGAGGACCTGGAATCCCCCTGGTTCTATCAGACCCTGGGACACCTGCGCGTTGTTATCCAGATCCGTGCAGTCTGGATTCTTTTGTGTCTGCTGAGTTAGGATTGGACAGAGGCATGTGTTGATCTGGAGGTCTCTGTACGGCCCCCCCACTGTGGACTGTCTGGGGGTTCTCAAAGCAGGAGCCCACTCCTGGTGGGCTCCTGGGGACACACCTGCCTGAGTGTGCCAGTGATCAGCGGCCCCTCAGCAAATGCGGGACTCTCCCGACTCCAAGGAGGAGACCGCTGTCCCCCAAGCCTCAGGGTGGGCCCTACTCTCAAGGCGGGGACTCCAACCCTCTTTAGGGGCTCAGTGGCCCCCTCCTTCCACCAAACTGTGCTTCAGTCCCAAGTTCAACAGACAGGTGTTTGCAAGGCCTGTGCGGGATGCTGGGGCCGGGATGAGGCCACAGCCTCCTCCCACCCCCCAGCCCCAGCAGCCCCTGCAAAGACTTGCTTCTTTCTGGCCAGGTCGCCTCTTTCTTGGTAGCCCAGGTGCGAAAACTGAACGACAGCCGCAGCCGGCGCCCCCAGCTCTGCGATGGGGGCCTCAAGACTTGGCTGCGGAGGATACACGCAGACAGGGACAAGACCGGGGACCACCCGGAGGCGGTGAGTGGTCCTCGACCCGCGGACAGAGAAAGGGCGGGAGGCACTTCCAGGTTGCCGGGTACGACCTACTAGGGCCACCAGGGGGCGCCCCGGTGCCGCGCAGCGAGCGAGGAGGCGGTGTCTGGGAAGGGAAGGGTCACCCATGGGCTGCGGAAGGAGGGACACAGAGTGGCCCGGGCGCCTCTCCTGGGAGGCATCTCTCCAGCCCCATTTTTAGGCAGCCCCTTGAGTACCTGCCTGAGGGCTGGGAAAGTGAGGGTCGCTTTGTAGGGTGTAGGATGGTTGGAGCTGGGAGGGTAGAGTAGCAGGGGACGGCCTTCCAAGCTAATGAGTGTTCCTGGGCAGAATCCTGAACCCGAATCTTTACCAAGAGAACTTGGCCAAGTGTTGGGTCTGCACCCCATGTAATATGTGTGGGTGATGGGTCTTTATATAAACCTACCTGCGTGGGTGTGCCCTGCTATTGTGTGTGGGTACCAGTTCACGTTTGCAGGCACGTTTCTGTACCTGTACACACATTGAGGGATCTCACGTATGCGTCTATGTGTGCATCCTGTGGTATTTTAGTGTCGGCATGGGTGTAAGTGTGCACGTATGCAAGCTTATACACATGTTTGAATTCCAGCCATGCACCTAGTGCCTGGGCATATGGATGGGTCTTTTTCTCTGCAGACTCTCAAGGTGGCAAAGATCCAGGTGGCCTGGCCTACCAAGGACCCCCTGAAGGTGCCTCTGACACCTAGCACCAGAGTGGCCCACGTCCTCCTACAGTTCACAGAGCGCCTAGCCCCAGGTTCAAAGGGTCAAGAGGACAGAGAGGATGCAGACAGCCTCCTCCCACGGTGAGGGACAGCCCCAGGAGGCTGGGAGCAAGGGATGGGCACAGGAATGGACAGCACCTCAGAGCCCTGGGCCTGGTTTTTGGACTTTGGCCTTTCTTTTTCTGGGGTGGTCAGACAGCTTCTCCAGCCTTCCAGAGCTCCTTGGCTCCAAATAATAACCATAATAGCCACCATGTATTCATTCATTCCTGTTAGAAGGTGTCTCATGGATGCCTATATTGGCCAGGCACCATGCAGATAGCCATGAGAAGAACAAGCAGAGGCCCGGGTCTCATGCTCATGGCCCTGTGGAAGAGAGGGACATAGACAAGTAGTGGAAAAAATATCAGGTTACAAACTATTAGGTTTTATAAGGAATACAAGGAAGAATGTGAAATAAAACAAGGTACCTGGTGTAGTCCAGGGAAAGAGTGAGGCTTCCAGGCTCAGAGAACTGCATTGGTCAAGGTCCTGAGGCAGCAGGTACGAGCTGGGCAGAGAACTGGAGGAGGCCCGTGGGCTGATATATATGGTTGCCATTCCCAGGAGGCAGCCTAAGCCACCAGGAGCTTCCATCTTGGGGTTGGCACAGGTCCTTAGCAAGCATCTGTTCCAGTTCTTCCTTGAACAGATGGGAAAACTGTACCCCGAGAGGAGAAAGGGTATGCCTTGGGGTCACGTGGCAAATTGGAGGCAGATCCTAGAATTGAACTCAGGATACCCGTAATTATCATACAATAATTCTATGACACTCATACATAATCAGACAATATCCCTAATCCATCGCGACTCAGAATCTGCCCCTGACAGTGGGCTCTTGTCCCCATCCATCTGTCACCCTTCATCTCACTGCCCTTGAAACCTCTATTCTGATGCCTAATAGGAGGGGACAGTGTGGTGGGTGCTGCCTCTGCCTGTCCCCTGGGTGCTGGACTCCTCTGCTGGCTCCAGCTTTCTCAGAAGGGCCCTTAGGCCTCTTCTGTCACCTGGAGCCAAAATTCCTGAGGATTGTCTTTTCCAGGCCTGGGGGCCATACACAAGCTGCTGTCCTTGCTGCCCCCAGAAGAGGCCAATGGTTTTTCTCTGTCTTGCAGCTACAGGTTCATGGAGTCAGCCAACTTCCTCTATGAAGTCGGAGGAAATATAAGTAAGTTTCCCTTGGGAAATGGTACAGAGCCCAGGTCCCTGGGAGTTCTTTGACTTTGAAGGCTCATTGGACTCCAGAGTCCTCCTCAAGATGAGCCTTCTGCTCAGGCCTCTGTCTCTGGTAAAACCATGGAGCCCTGCCATGAGGTCAGAGGTCAGCCTGTGCATGCCTTTGAAATCCATTCTACAGTTTGGAGTTTTGCCTGGAGCTGGCCTCGGGCTTTTTATTTGGTGTGAAGGTGGTTAGTGCCACTAGTGCAATTAAAGCCTCTGGGACACCTAGCTGAGGCGGACCTCATCCCAGGCCAATGGGCCATGGAGTCCTTAAGGAATTCTGCAAACACACGTTCAGCTCTGAGAGGTCCCTGGCTTTGTGGGAACTGAGGACAGCAGCTGATGCATTCTCTGGAGTAGAGATCCTCAAACTTCAGCAATCTGTCAGAATCACCTGGGGGCTATTAAGACATAGCCCTGAGTGGGGCTGGAGAATGTGCATTTCTATTCTTTCTTTCTTTCTTTTTTTAAAGACAGATTCTCACTTTATCGCCCTCGGTAGAGTGCTGTGGCATCACAGCTCCCAGCAACCTCCAACTCCTGGGCTTAGGTGACTCTCTTGCCTCAGCGTCCCAAGTAGCTGGGACTACTCGGTGCCCACCACAACGCCTGGCTATTTCTGTTGTTGTTGTTGCAGTTTGGCTGGGGCTGGGTTCGAACCCGCCACCCTCAGTATATGAGGCCGGCGCCCTACCCACTGAGCCACAGGCGCCGCCCAGAATGTGCATTTCTAACAAGTTCCCGGCAGTGCTGATGACACTTGAGAGCTGCTGGCTGAGAAACAGAGGCCCAGACAAGTAGCAGATGCGTTGAGGGAGCGAAGGAGCCAGGGTGATCCACACCCTGGATGAGGCCTGACCCCCCAGGGGACTCTGGAGCATAAATTGCATTGTTGCTTTTTGAGGCAAGGAGGCTGGTGTTTGGCACTCTATATCGGTCCCTGGCTGCAGGCTGCGTAGGGGGAGGTGGGCTACCTTCCATCTTCCATCTGCAGAGGACGATCGTCCAGAGCAGCCCAGGCTCATGCACCCTGCGCAGGGGATGGTGCCTGGCCCACAGAAGGGGTAGGAGAAGGGCAACAGCATTTTCTACAGCCAACCCTCTGCCTCCTTCGCCCCTTCTCCCCATAGGTGAACATCGCCTGGACCCGGATGCCTACCTCTTAGATCTGTACCGCGCCAATCCCCACGGCGAGTGGGTCATTAAACAGAGCCCCACCTAAGCCCTGAGCCTCTACAAACTGGCCCTGGCTGTGTCACCCTTGCCCCTACTGGCTCTATACCCAGCGTGGAAGGAAAGCTTTTGAAGGCGAAGGTCTGGGTCTTTTTCCAAGGCGTCCTTCTCTGAAATACCTCTCAGATCTGGGAAAGGACTCAGCGCTGTCTCGCCCTTTGGACGATGCCCTCACTTCCGTCCACTCCCCAGCCCTGACGAGGGTCAGCTCTCATCCCAGCCTTGTTGCATGACACCGCCACTTGGGGCACTTGGACCTTCATGGGGTTTTGTTCACAATTTTCAAACCCAAGGAGAATTAAAAAAATGCAGCATCTTTATGAAGAGGCAGGTAGTTTTTTTCCCCAGGAAAAGTTGCTTTGAAAGTGTCCCTAACAGTTAGCAAAGCACCAGAGATGAGGCCAGGAGAATGCTATGACCTTGGGCAAGCTCCTTGCCCTTTCTGAGTCCTTCAAAGATAAGGGGGTCAGGCTTCAGGGATGGGGAGCAAATGTTGTAATCATGGACACCCCCGAGAGAACTGGACAGAAGAGACAGTCCCTTTACACTCTCATGTTTCGAATGTTGGTTTGCACAATCTTGTCATTTTGTAATGTGATATTTAAACTGTTTAGACATTAAAGGCACAACAAATTAAATGTTACTTTTACTTTGTTTAAATTTTTTCCCCCTAGTCCAGCATTCACTGGGTGGTGTCCTTCCACGGAGCTGACAGGGAGTTTGGTGATGAGAGCATCTTGCTCTGGCCATTGTGGTCTGGCCATGCCTTGAATCTGCAACCACC